TAATGGCGAATTTGTCAATGCCAATGGTGTTCAAGTGGTGCTCCAGTTGTTTTGGGATTGCACCCAAGGCACCTATTACTATTGGTACTACCCTTGCTTGCTTTTGCCACAGTCTTTCTATTTCTATTTGTAGGTCTTTGTATTTTGTTATCTTCTCCAGTTCTTTCTCGTCTATTCTGCTGTCTCCAGGCACTGCCACGTCCACTATCCAGACTTTTTTGTCTTTCTTATCGACAATTGTTAAGACCAGTGCTTGTCTGCCTGAACAGGGGGTTGGACTAGACCTCCAAGGTCCCTTCCAACTTTGTTAGTAGTAGTAGTAGTAGTAGTAGTAGTAGTAGTAGTAGTAGTAGTAGTAGTATATTAGCATTATTAGTATTATTAGTATTGCATGTCCGGGGGTCTGTGATTGCTTCTTGCAACCTTTTGACAAGCAAAGTCAAGTGAGGAGCTGGATTCACATAGCAAACATGTTACTAACTTAACAACTACAGTGATCCACTTTAACAACTGTGGCAAGAAAGGTCGTAAAATGGGGCAAAATTCACTTAACAACTGTCTCTCTTAGCAACAGCAATTTGGGTCCCAGTCGTGGTCTTAAATTGAGAACTACCTGTAGTGTTTTGGAGACCAAGGATGAGACTTTTGAGCTAGCTCTGGGCCCCTGTGAAATTCCACGAGGCAAATTCTTAGCATGAATAGATTGCCTTTCCTGCCTAAACCTAAATGTAATTTTGGATCGAAGCATTTCTGCGTGCATGCACGTTTATAAAAGTGCCATTTGTCATACATGTCGGCTTACCCTGGGCTTCCCTTCCAGAGAGGGTGAGCGACGTGTGTGTCCAGCCATGATGTGCACCCCCTTCTCTTTCAGAATGAGGTGGGCAAGTGCATCTGTCTGGAAGCAAGATTTTTTTTTGTGGGCGGAACACACTTGGAAACAAAGAATGTTTCCATACTGGGCTTTAATGCTCTCCCGTAGTTTTTTCCAGCAAGTGAGGCTGGGCTGGAAAGAGAACGGATGCACTGCACGCATGCTCCAGCATCCGCAGCCCCCCCCCATCCCTTTCTCATCCCTGATCTCCTCCCCTCTTCTCTCCTCCCCCCCCCCCCCGTTAGGATCTGCCCAGAGGGAAAGGAACTAGCTCATCTACTGATAGGGAAAGGGGGGGGAAGGGAGGAGGCTGATCTGTCACTGGGAATCTCTCCAGCATCCTCCCAGTAGCTGGCTTTATCCAGGAGCAGCTGGGACTCTGGGTATTTCAGCACCAGCAGCCCTGGACAGCTCCAGATTCATTGAACTGGTACTTTGAGCTACCGGCTGAATCCGCCCAGAGACCTACGTCATCACACAAAAGAAAGAGGCGAAGCATCCTTGTTGGGTGCCCCTTTGATCTGCACTAGATCCTGCTTCTCCCTGGAGCCCCCACAGCGGGATTTTCTCCTAAACCATGGGCAGAAAGATGCTTCTCAGCCTGTTAACGGTGTTGTCCTTGATCGTAGGCCAAATGTTTGGCTTCCCGAAGCCGGAAGGTGCAAGAGAAGGTAAGCAAACCAGCCTTACGAATGGGTTGGTCTCGTTTTTAAACTTCTTCATCTTTCGGTAGTTGTAATGTATTCTTGTCACCCCTTGCCTTGCAAGGCGAAAGAAATAACCCAAGGAGAGGTTCTGAGATGCTGAACGATTTTTAAAGAATAAAAATTATACCACGTTGGTTCAAATTGGTTCCAAAACCTACGTACACAGATTTGGAACACAGCCCCTAGATAAAAGCTGATGTGTGTGCCAAGTTAAATAGACAAGAAAAAAGAGGGGGATTCCAGAAAAATTGGAGAAAAAGTTTGAATTTCTTTTATTCTACATTTTTGTTTTCATGCTGGGCCTCTGATTTGCAGGGAAACATTTTCGCAGTCTCCCTTTGTTACAGGTTTCTCTTAATGTCATACAATCTTTTAATCTCTTGATTATTTCAAGCTGATTACATTACTGCTATTTTAGTCCAGTTCTTATGAGATTCTTTTTTAAATTGTGTGCATTAGTTGATTTATGATGACAAATAACAGCGATGCCTTTATCTGAAGGAATATCCAGTGCTAATTCTATTAATTAAAAACAAAAATAAATCCATGTTTTGTTTGGTTTTCCCCTGACAAGATTCCTCTGGGACTTGTTTCAGCATTTTTAAACAAGTGGAGTATTTGGGGAAAGAGGTCGGGATGGACTTTAATAATATATTTTATTATTATATACATAGATATGTGCAAGAGAGAAAGTGTGACACCCCGATTGTACCACAGCTGTCTAAATATGTATGTCTCTATTCCAGATAAAACAATATACAACAGAGAACTAAGTGTAGAGAGACCACTGGAAGAACAGGTAGGTAAAGCAAGTTTCTACACAAATATATTTCAGTAATGTAAAAATCAGCAGAACCTAAGCCTCTTAACTGCTAGGAGAATCCCAGTGATCTGAAGAAATTAATTTCGTAGTACTAATAAAAAAAACCAACCAACCAAAAAACCTGTCCCACATAAACATTCTGACTAAATATTTGCTAATGCATCAGCCCTGCAAAAGTCAATGTATATAATAGTTTGTTCAGGAGCTTATGTGCAACTGCATCCCTGTTACAGCATGGGCTTTTAGCAGACAAGTGACTAATTCATCACTGGCAAAAAAAATCAGATTCACGCATCTGATGACGTAGATGTTCACACACCAAAAGCGCACAAAAGAATAGTGGTCAGTCTTCAAAATGTTCTGGAATCCTCAAATGTTTTGATGATTAGCCAAAGCTTCGGAACGTTTTTGGGGTTTTGTGTTGTTGTTGTTTTTGGAGTGATAGTCCTACAAAGTTTTGAGAATTCCACCTCACAGCGGTTTTTCTATAATGACTGCTTTAGCCTTTGAGGAAGAAGAGCATGGGACTGAATCAGACCTGGGATCCATTTGTTTCTAGTGTTAAACACTGGCAAACCTCAGGTTTTAAACTGATATTTCTCCTGCCCTACTTGAGGTACCAAATGCTGAACTTCATCTCCTTTGCTTAAAAAGCATATTCTCCCTTCCTGAGCTACTGCTCATCTTCTTCCATTTATGAAATCAATAAAAGCAACAATGGGCATGTTCAAAATGCCTGATTACTTTTCTTGCTAGGGCAGATGAAATGGCTCTCTTGACTGTCTTTGGGGAGAGGGAGGGTTTATTTCGCTTTATTTTACTATATTTCCACAAATTGGCTACCAGAAACCTTACTAAAAGAAGGAGATAAATAAGAGCTTGTACATTTTGGAATCCAGCAGCAATTAACTATCCAATAACTTAAAGAGGCACAGAGAAAAGTACATCAGAAGTAAAACCCACAAAGCATTAAAGAACATAAGGCAAATATCAAAGGGAGGAATATAATTATTTTCCCCCCTACTGCTTAAGTAGAGATGTAGGGGACATGATGCTTTATACTAAGGCAAGCTAATGCAAGTAATGCAAGATAGCTGCCATCTGCTCATTTTAATTAACGATAGCAAGGGTGAGACTAGGACCTCATACAGGCAAAGTATATTTCTGCATTGGCTGATCACCACTTTTTGAGAAAGGTTTAGAGGTTAAATAATATTCCAATAAAGCAGGGGTCTCCAGTCTTGGCAATTTTAAGACTTGGGCACTTCAACTCCCAGAATTCCTCAGCAGCACAGCTGGCTGAGGAATTTTGGGAGTTGAAGTCCACAGGTCTTAAAGTTGCCAAGGTTGAAGACCCCTGCCACAAAGGCTGCTCCAGAAGTTAGAAGCCACCACTGGACATCCTCCATTCTTATCTGCCATTTATCAAAGTTCCAAAACCAAGGCCAACCATAGCTAAGCTGCAAGTGATCATCTAAGTCAGAGGTCCCCAAACTTTTGGGCACCAAGGACTGGTTCCATGGAGAGAGGTTTTTCCGCAGACTGGAGGATGCGTGGTTTTGTGTGTTGCCTGCATCCTGCTGATGGGACTTTGCTTGTTTGTGTGGACCGGTTGCTGGCATGCCACAGCTCAGTACTGGTTCACAAACCAGGGGTTGGGGACCCCTGATCTAAGTCATGGACACTTTATTTCCTTCAGACTGAAATCTAAACTTGGTCTTTTGGTAACATGTGGGAGGCCTCGTTAATCTCCAAGAGGTTGATATGTTTCTCTTCCATCACCTTAATTGTAAATTAGTGAAAACTGAGAAATGCCTTACAATTTTGGGACAAAAACATGTGGCTCCAGACAGTAGCTGTGTACCTTTGATCCAAGTGAACTGCATAAACATTGATCCAATCTCTCTTGACAATACTCTCATTATACAAAAGTCCAATACTGGATCAACAGGACTGTTATTTTCACACCCAGATATCTTGGGACTATCCTAGAATTCATAACTAGCTACCAAAAGTCCATTCCGAGCATCTGTAGGAATAGCTGGAAAAAAAGAAACTCAAATGAGTTGGTATTAACAAATATTAATCACAAGTATGCAATGTTTGGGGCTAGGCCAGGGGTAGGCAACCTTGGTTCTTTTATGACTCGTGGACTTCAACTCCCAGAATTCCTGAGCCAGCCATGCATGAGCTGGCTCAGGAATTCTGGGAGTTGAAGTCCACGAGTCATAAAAGAGCCAAGGTTGCCTACCCCTGGGTTAGGCGTACATTTGAAATTTTAAGAACAACACAATCACGTTCAGAAAGGGCTGCCTTGGAGAAAAAGCATGTGCATCTACAAAATGGTTGCCATGGTGGGCACTAGCCAGAATATACAGGTAGTCCTCAACTTACGACTGCAACAGAGCCCAAAATTTCTAGTGAGACAGCTGTTAAGTGAGTTTTGCCCCATTTTACGACCTTTCACGCTACAGTTGCTAAGTGAATCACTGCAGTTGTTATTAACACAGTTGTGAAGTGAATCTGGCTTCTGCCTTGACTTTGCTTGTCATAAGGTCGCAAAAGGACACTGCAACCATCATAAATACGAGTCAGTTGCCAAGCGTCCAAATTCTGATCACGCGGCCATGGGGATGTTGCAACAGTCATAATTGTGAAAAACGGTCGTAAGTTGCATTTTTCAGCACTGTTGTAACTTCAAATGGTCACTAAAGGAATGCTTTTAAGTAAAGGACTACTTATTGAACAGAAGGCCACTTGATAAGGCTGGTCCCCATCGCTACTATCCCAAAGATGCTTCCTTATAGCCCAGTTTACTATCCCAAAGATGCTTCCTTATAGCCCAGTTTACTCCTGTCGGTTTATCTTGGGCAGATGGTGAAATGGGCCACAAGAAGCCAGTTCAAGTCCTCCCTTGTTGTCTCCCCCAACAGATTGCTGAAGCAGAGGCCGACAAGATGAAGAAATCACCCCGGACAGGTGAGCCACCTTTTCTTAATTCCTTACTTACTCGCTATTCCTTACACTTTTTTTTATTCCTGATTCAGACTGCTGCTTACTCAGAGGATGAGATGGTTTCTCCACCCATCTATATTCCAGATCTTCCAGAAAATAAGCCAGAATTCAGGAATTATTCATTTGTGGATGACTTGAACCTGCTGAGATCTGTTGTGGAAAAAGACAGAAAAGAAAAGGAAATGGAATCGGTCAGGAGTCCTCTGTATAGCCAACAGCTTGCTCTTGATGATGCAGATTCCACCAAGAGACGCAGGCTGGTGGATGAGTATGACTCCACTAAAAGTGATGTGGATTATAAATACCAAGGTACTGCATTAGCCTTCACCGGCCACGGTTATGCTTTGAATTCATCTTACATACACAGATGAGTTGAACAGCTTCTCTGAATGCACGACATCATGGTAGACTCATCAATCTTAGCGGACAAGCAACGGGAATGCCAAGTTGGCCATGGGCCAAGTACTGCTGACGTGGGTAAAGGAATGAAATATAGGAAAAAAGAGGAGAATAAAATTCAAGCCATTATGCAACAGCACAGAATGCACTGAACCGTGGCTTGTTAAACAAACCACAGTACCTTAGGACACACATAACCACGATTTCACATTTCAAAGGCTACAAATACGAACAGACCAAGCCCAGACCTAACCAATAGCATAATACTTGTGTGATATGCAAACAAAGTCATAGATTCATAACTTGAGTTTCTCAAGTGCTGTTTTTTGGATCGCCGAAGTGGCACCGTTTGTGCGTAAGACTGTGTAGATGGTGCCACTTCGGCGATCCAAAAAAACCAGCACTTGAGAAACTCAGTTTACACCATGGGCAATTAGGGCAACTTTATGACCTGTGGACTACAACTCCCAGAATTCCTGAGTTAACTCCAGTTCTGGGAGTTGAAGTCCATAGGTTGCAATGTTGGTTGTAGATATTGTGCTGGGGGGGAGGGGGGAGGAGGAGGAGGAAGAGGCTTACAGAAGCCTAACTTTGTAGAAATACTGAAAGTTCAAAATTTTAGAATCCCAAATTGAGATGATGAACACTCAAAATAAACAATGACAGTGAGGACAATTAACCTGTGAAACAGCTTGCCTCCAGAAATCGTGAGCGCTCCATCACTGGAGATCTTTAAGAAGAGGCTAGACAGTCACCTGTCTGAGATGGTATAGGTTCTCCTGTTTGAGCAGGGGGCTGGACTAGAAGACCTCCAAGGTCCCTTCTAGCTTTATCCTACTCTATTCTAACAAGGCATTTTACTTCATTGGAGAAGACTCATTTGAAGTAAGCTGGTGCCTTCGAGTTGTCAATTTCTTGAATTCTAGTTATAAGACTTCTGGTGAGCATCAGATTGGGGAGATCTGCTCTCTGGTGCTGCTGGTACATCTGATTCTACTATAAAGCACATTTTGGTACAGGAAGAACATTTCTGTCTATAACAAATCTCAGTCTGTTCTCATGGATGCCATCCAAATGCAGTGTAATCCCCATATTAGAAAAAAAAACAACAATGTGGAATGCAAAAATAGAAGCCTTTTAATTTATCAGCATTACGTAAACCAATTTCTTTCCGCACGCATGATGTGAATTTTCCATGAGGTTCACAATTAGCACTAGACATTTTTTTTTTAAAAAAAAAGGAAGACAGGAAGAGACCGCTGATTAGCTCAGAATGAACTTTGATTACTTAACTATGAAGCACAGTGTTAACTGAGCTTTGCTTATATAGTAAATATGTAAAGAGGGTAGCTATATACATAGACAAACTGTGGGATAATCTACACAGCCATGCAACACACTCACGTATGTCCAGCAGAGCAGAATAGCAGAAAATCAAAAAAAAAATCTGATTTGATCTGATGCTGAAGTTCAATATACTGTAACCGGCCTAATATTTGGGCCTAATAATTATTGAGACTAGAGACAGGGCCAATTATACTGTTGGGCACAATGCAGTTCTTCAAGTTTTGAGTGTGGCCCCACAGTCCTCCGGGGGTAGTTCACAAATTATAAAGTTTAATGGGACAGAAGGAAAAGATGATTAAATGTAGTCATGCCTATTATTAAGTGCAATCGTAATTTGATTATATTTAATTTCAGTTTAATGTAAAAGGAAAGGATTTTTTTTATTATCATGGCATCACAATTACCTTTTGGAGGATGGTCCCCACAAAGCCATTCAAGCAAATTGTGGGCCATAACATTAGAGAAAACCATAAATTGAGCAGAATGAGACATACGCCTCAAAGCTAGATAGAATTTTTAGGATAGAATTTTTTTCCAGGTCTCTTTCTCCGGGAGATACCAAGGCTTGGACCTGGGGCTTTGTATTCTACCACTGACCTACAGCTGTCCCCAAAGCATCTTTTTATCTCCCTGTTCTTCTTTCAGATGACCCAGATGGACTTCATCAACTTGATGGGACCCCATTAACAGCTGAAGATATTGTCCAGAAGATTGCCATGAGAATTTATGAGGAAAATGATAGAGGCGTCTTTGACAAGATTGTTTCCAAGCTTCTAAATCTGGGCCTGGTAAGTGTTTGGGGCATCTGTTTACTTGCACAACCTGCTTGATTTTTCTTCCTGCCTCTTGTTTGGGGTTCTGAGACTATTCTAAAGAAAGGTTTGGAGCGAATGAGTTCGTTTTTAAATAAAGCGGTATTATTTTGCATTTGAGCTCAGGCTTTCAACAGTAACTTCAGTCACAAGATGTTTGGCCATGATATGCAAGTTGCCAGTTACTTGAAAGATTTCATCATTGACAGATAAACTCAAAAGGTAGGGAAAAATAGGAAGGATGTGAGAAGTATTTTCTATTAAGTTCTTTCTCGCATAGCCAAAGCATTGAATTGCCCAAGAGTGGAAAAAGAAGATCATCGTCTAAGTGAAGAGGAGCTTTAAGCAGTTACAATGAATCTGTGAATCTTAACTTGCTTTCTGTTTAGTTCTGCATTTAAAAAAAAAATTGCATTGAGTTGAAGATCACTTATACAGAGACAACTATGCGGTTAAAAATGATTTGCCTTTACCTCTTTCTTCCCTCCCTTCCTTTCTCTTTTCAAATTTCCGGTCAAGCTTTTAGATTCTGCAAAATAGCAGAGCAGAATAAAAATAAATCAGAGATCACAATAGAATTTATCTGGGTTAAAATGTGATTTATTTTTGCCTGTCTGTCTCAAAAGCACGTATATGTGCTTTTGAGTCACCACAATGTAAAAAAGATGTTGAGACTCTAGAAAGAGTACAGAGAAGAGCAACAAAGATGATTAGGGGACTGGAGGCTAAAACATATGAAGAACGGTTGCTGGAATTGGGTATGTCTAGTTTAATGAAGAGAAGGACGAGGGGGGACAGGATAGCAGTGTTCCAATATCTCAGGGGCTGCCACAAAGAAGAGGGAGCCAAGCTATTTTCCAAAGCGCCTGAAGGCAGGACAAGAAGCAACGGATGGAAACTAATCAAGGAGAGAAGCAACCTAGAACTAAGGAGAAACTTCCTGACAGTTAGAACAATTAATCAGTGGAACAACCTGCCTCCAGAAGGGGTGAATGCTCCAACACTGGAAGTTTCCCAGATGGCTTCCGACAAGCAAAATCCATGGGAGAAAACTGGATTCATTTAACAATGCATCCAGTTTTGGTCACCACGATATAAAAAAGATGCTGAGACTCTAGAAAGAGTACAGAGAAGAGCAACAAAGATGATTAGGGGACTGGAGGCTAAAACATATGAGGAACAGTTGCTGGAATTGGGTATGTCTAGTTTAATGAAGAGAAGGACGAGGGAGGACATGATAGCAGTGTTCCAGTATCTCAGGGGCTGCCTCAGAGGCAGGACAAGAAGCAACGGATGGAAACTCATCAAGGAGAGAAGCAACCTAGAACTAAGGAGAAACTTTCTGACAGTGAGAACAATTAACCAGTGGAACAACCTGCCTCCAGAAGCGGTAAATGCTCCAACACTGGAAGTTTTCAAGAAGAAACTGGACAGCCATTTGTCTGAAATGGTATAGGGCAGGGGTAGGCAACCTTGGCTCTTTTATGACTCATGGACTTCAACTCCCAGAATTCCTGAGCCAGCATGCCTGGCTGAGGAATTCTGGGAGTTGAAGTCCACGAGTCATAAAAGAGCCAACGTTGCCTACCCCTGGTATAGGGTTTCCTGCCTGAGCAGGGGGTTGGACTAGATGACCTCCAAGGTCCCTTCCAACGTTATCATCATCATCATCATCATCATCATCATCATCATCATCATTATTATTATTATTATTATTATTATTATTATTATTATTATTATCATTATACATGTAGAGCTCGGTGAGAGAATCAAAAAGTCTCCGTTGTTTCTTCTTTTTCCCCAGATCACCGAAAGCCAGGCCTACACCCTCGAGGACGAAGTGGCTGAAGCACTGCAGCAGCTGATTGCTAATGAAGCTAAAGATCGGGAAAAGGCATCCAGGGGTCTTGAGGACCTCCCAAGCAAGAGTAACAGTCAGACCAAAGAGAAGCAGAAAGTAAAACTGGTAATAACTTCTTAATTGCAATCCACTTTTATGGGAGAGTTCAGTGGACATGCCTACTTATCAGTCCTTCTCTTAGGAAATACAGCATCTCAGTCAAAGAACTTTTCCACCCCTGAGAAACCCACCACTGTATATCCTAAAGTAGTTTTGCCATGATAGGATCCAGTATGGACTGAACAACCCATATTATAGTGTAATGTATAGGATGACCCCAGCCAATTCTATCCCATAGGATGGCTGCAAGATGCTTTTGAATATTCATTAACAGTGGATAAAAGTAATGGAATCCCTGTAGTTCACTTCTAGTATTTGCTACTTAAAAATTAGACTTTTAAAGTGTTCTTATACATTTAGTGATCATGGTTGTGGAGAGCCAGTTTGGTGTTGTGGCTAAGGCACCAGGCTAGAAATCGGGAGATTGTGAGTTCTAGTCCCGCCTTAGGCACAAAGCCAGCTGCGTGACCTTAGGCCAGTCACTTTCTTTTAGCCCTATTGCTAGATCTATTTTGTATTAATTTATTTAAGCCCTTTGGTGAACAGAAGTGGACTAATTCCCTGTTCAAGCATTCCTTGCTGTGCATTATTTGATATCAAATATTTTGGTTGTGATGTCCAAATAGCAATAGCACTTAGACTTATATACTGTTTCATAGAGCTTTACAGCTCTCTCTAAGCAGTTTACAGAGTCAGCCTATTGCCCCCAACAATCAGGGTCCTCATTTTACTGTCGTCAGAAGGATGGATGGATGGATGGATGGATGGATGGATGGATGGATGGATGGATGGATGGATGGATGGATGGATGGATGGATGGAAGGAAGGAAGGATGGATGGATGGATGGATGGATGGATGGATGGATGGATAGATAGATAGATAGATAGATAGATAGAGGTAGACAGAGAGAGAGCAATAGCACTTAGATTTATATACCACTTCACAGTGCTTTACAGCTCTCTCTAAGCGGTTTACAGAGACAGCATATTGCCCCCAACAATCAGGGTCCTCATTTTACCGACCTCAGAAGGATGGAAGGCTGAGTCAACCTTGAGCTGGTCAAGATCGAACTACCAAAAACTGCTGGCAGCTGGCGGTCAGCAGAAGTAGCCTGCAGTACTGCATTCTAACCACTGCGCCACCCCGGCTCAAAGATACGTACTTTTATTTTTTTTATGAAGGTGTTAAAAAGTACTGATCCAGATCATACCTTGGATAATACATGGACACCCACCAACATCTTAGAAAGAAGAAACGAACTGCCCCCAGAGGATCGCTTTGAGGACCTCCAATACTTCCCTAATTTCTATGAACTATTAAAAAGCCTTGACTCGGGTGAGTTTCCTATAGGGCAGTCATTTCAAAAAGCAGAGCTATCCCATGTTTTATTTAACTTTTTTTAAAAAAATATTTCTTGGATTTATAAACTGCCCATTTCCCAATAGCAGCTCTGGGCAACTTACACGTTTTAAAAATACAATAGCATAATAAACATAAATGGTTGTGAAGTCAGATCAATTTAAACACTAACACCTCATGGACTCTGATAAGTACTCTGATTCCTATATTGAGGGACGCATTTGCATCTTAAGAACCATAAGAAAAACTCCTTAGCAGGCCATTTTGTGTTTCAGTTGTTCAAATGCTTAGATTGACACAAATTACTTGCTGAGCTGGGTTCTGGCATCCCATTGGCCCAACTGTGATTTGCCATCTGCCATAATTTAGGATCACAAAGCACAGACCTAGATTTACAAAATGCAGCAGCTAATCATGCTCACACAGCCCATTAAACCAAGAAGGAGCAAACAACGTGATGGCCTAGCGCGATGCATGAATCCATTACCTGATTTTCACTTATTGCTCAAATCATTAAATGACAACACTCTGGGAGAGAAGCAATAAACAAAAGCACTATAAACACCCATTAATTTGGAGTGCTTGCTGGAGAAGAAAGGCAGGATCAAAATGAATAGAAGTTAAATAAAAGCTGAGCCATCACATTCTCATTTCTATATAGATCAGTGGCCATAATCCTCGGCTGTCATGATCTGTATTGGTCCAGAATAGCAAAAGGGCACAATCTAGTTATGCAGATTAAGTCATACAGTATTTTTCAGCAGGTCCATTAATTCACATTCAGCCAGCCGTGCAAATTGTCTCCTCTCCTGAAAAATCAAACAGGCTAAGAGAGAGAGAGAGAGAGAAATGTGCTGATCAATAGATAAGAGTATTTTTTAAGTTAAACCATCATCACTTCCAAGAGATCATGAATCTGTTTACTCTTCACGCAGAGGAAGAAGTGAAAGAAAAGGAAACCTTGATAACAATCATGAAAACTCTAATAGATTTTGTCAAGATGATGGTTAAATATGGAACCATCACACCGGAAGAAGGCGTTTCGTACCTAGGTAAGAGCATGTGAATTAATTTTTTAAAACCATGTTTCTCTCATGAATTGCACTGGGTGATGTTTTTAATCTCAGGTCATGTTTATATCAAAGCACTGCCTGTAACGTAAAGATGTATCAAAGTGCAAAATTTTGGTGTCTGAAGTCTTCAAACGGAGGGACATGAATTGGAATTAGGAAACCAGAACATAAGAATGTTTTTGTTTTTTGTTTTAGTTTTTATTACCATTTTCCTTTATACAACTCTAATGCATATTCAGCAGACTATGTCATTTTTAAATACTTTGGATCAACATTCTATACAATATATAAACTATATACTTTCAATATCTAACTCACAATAACCTTATGTGTATTTCCAATTTTTGTTTCTATTATCTATCCATGTATCGCATAAAATTCCGAATCGTCTTTTTATTTTATTTTATTTATTTATTTATTTATTATTTGGATTTATATCCCGCCCTTCTCCTCGTAGGACTCAGGGCGGCTGACAATCAATTAAAATACATAAATAACAATACAAATTTAAAATTAATTAAAAGAGATATTTAAATATTGTCCGATTTAAAATATAATTAAAACCCCTCTAAAAATTACCCTAGGCCAGTCCTGCA